CTTGACAGTCAGGAGTCCTTGTAGGAAACAGAAACCTCTCTAGTTACTCTAAATGGAAAGGTATTGAAGCAATGACATTGGAAGGGCTGGGTGGGCAGACACTAGAATGAACTTCCAGGACTAACTTCAAGAAAGAGATGGCCAAACCAGCCTATGGCAGGGGGTGGATATCACTTCAGCCACAATGAGCAGGGTGGGGAATTAGAAGTCTCTATGCGAAGAGACTCTTAAAGTCACAAAACAAACTGAGGGTGGCCAGGGGGAGGGGGGTAGGGAGAGGGTGGTGGGGTTATGGACATTGGGGAGGGTATGTGCTATGGTGAGTGCTGTGAAGTGTGTAAACCTGGTGACTCACAAACCTGTACTCCTGGGGCTAATAATACATTACATGTTTATAAAAAAATTAAAAAAATTAATTTAAAAAAAAGGGAAAAAAAAAGTCTCTGTGCGGACCTGTTCAGTACAATACGCTAACACAGTAGTGACTCAGGAATCCGAAGTCACAGATGTCACTATCATGATGCCTCGTGACCCCACATGGTTGGGGACTAGACCCTGCAGTGCCACTGCAGGTCAATCCAGAGTCTGAGCACTGTGCCTGCCCGAGGTATGAGCTCGCAGCAGGATGACTGTGAGCCCTGCCTCTCATCCCCTTTCAAATCCCATCAAGTGCATCTAATTGGCAGAACTTGCACTCAGAACCCTCATCCTTTTTGGTATTCTAACCCCCACAGAACAGAAAAGCACAGACATTGGAAAAGAGGACAAGGGCCAAGTCAACACAACCACCAGTAGACAAAAATGCGGGGCGGTGTCATACAGGGCAGCCACGGCCTCTGAGACAGGGACAAGGAGCTGCTGCAGTGACAGGCTTGACTAGAGATGGTCAGGATTCATTACCCAGAAAAACATTAAGGTCAGACATGAGTCATACACACACACACACTTTTTTAGGCAGAGAAAGGTATTTCACTCACGTAATTTATACCTAGCCTCACTCCAGCAAAGAACTGGAGGAAAAGAGAAAAGATATGTTTATAAAGAAAGGCAGGGGGCATTCTAGTCAGCATGAATCTATCTGTCTAAAATTAGGAAATAAAAAGATTGTTCTGCCCAGTTGAAACATTTATTATGTAGGTATGGATAATGGCAGAGGGTCACATAATCAAGGGTTTGGGTTTGACATGGGCCAGTCCACTCAGAAGTTCTGACATTTCTAACCAGCCGAAAATAAGAGGATGCCATCAAAATAAAATCCATGTAAGCTTTTTAAAAAAAAAAAATAAGGGATTCACCTGAGTCATTGACTTAGGGATGAGAGAGAATATGAGATCTTCTGTTAAACCAAAGAATCCAAACTTTATGTATCTCTAAAGTTGAAGATGCCAACTTGAGTACAGTGACCTCCTAGGCTAGGAAATGTACAATGTTTTAAGATAATGGTTATGGGGGATGGGGCAGCGCCTGTGTGGCTCAGTCCTTAAATGTCTGCCTTCGGCTCAGGTCATGATCCGATGGTCCTGGGATAGAGGCCCACTTTGGGCTCCCTGCTCAGTGGGAAGCCTGCTTCTCCCTCTCCAACTCCCCTTGCTTGTGTTCCCTCTTTCCTTGTGTCTCTGTCAAATAAATAAATAAAATCTTAAAAAAAAAAATAATGGTTACAGGGGTGCCTGGGTGGCTTCGTTGGTTAAGCCTTCCGCTCAGGTCACAATCTCAGGGTACTGGGATGGAGCCCCACATCGGGCTCTCTGCTCAATAGGGAGTCTGCTTCTCTCTCTGCCTCTCCCCTGGACTTGTGCTCTCTCTCTCTCAAATAAATAAAATTAAAAAAAAAAAAAAAGAAAAAAGAAAGAGACAATGGTTACAGTCCAGTCTATAACATGTTTAAAAATTCAGATTTTTCCAAAGGGGCTAAAGACAACCCTGCAAGGACGTTTCCCTAGTTTTCTTCCTTGCATGTTTTCAGCTTCCACTGTTCTAAGTTGCTTCTAAAAGTTCCTTTGTTTGATTTTCATCTCCTCCTCACACCTGCATCAACAAAAATCTCCCTTCTCAATCTGTGCATGATTCCTTTTTACTAGCAACATCTAATTAGGAGTACTTGCAGTTTCAAGGCTTTAGAAAAGATTCCACTTGCTACGACCAAGTTAGAAATATGGGCCTATATATATCTAGACTGTATTTTAATTGAATATGGGCTGTTTCTGAATTTTAAGCAACTTTCACATAACTAATGTTCGTATTCAATAACCAAGGCTATGTAAGTGGCATAAAAAGAAATCACAGGCTCAGATGTCCAATCTTTAGGGAAGCATTCTTCAAATGAGCAGAAATAGACATTCAATGTGTTTTAGGGACCACTCAAACGTTTTCACAGGCCTACATTACATTTTACACATCTTACTCTTTGATGCCCCAATAAAGCTGATTCCCAACTAGATTTCTCAGATGATAGTGGTCAACAAGTAACATCTGACCAAAATCTTTTGAATGCCATCTCCGCATCTGGTAAGTTCCCCAGTGTGGAGCCTCCCAAACCCACACAGAATTCGGTGAAAGTACATGTCCTATCCTCCGCTGGGATATGCAGGCATCTGACTTCAGTGTCCAACCACATAGGACCATGATGCAGACACAGGTTAGATGAGGGAGGGAAAGCTACCACCAAGTCTTTGTCAGTGTGGCTGGCAGCAGCATCGGGGACTCGGGGTTCTGCAGCGGTGGCTGTGGCGAGTTCTTGTAGGGAAGAGGGGCAGCTGACTAGGATTTTGGGGAGGAGCTCCTTTCTCCAGCCAGTGCTGGTGTGTGGTTCTGAAACTTGGACTTAGAGGCTCAGCCAGTTCTGCTTGCCCTTCCAAAGAGTCTGCATTTAGTACCCTCCTTTCTTAGATCAGCTTAGCAGTTCTTGAAGTGTGTGGTCCAAGGGCTCTGGGGGTCCCCAAGACCTTTCAGGGGACCTGTGAGATCTTCCCTTTTCTAACTTCAGATCTGTGTGAAGCCAGGTTTTTTCTTCAATACACCTCAATCAAAGCAGTATCATGGGGTACCTAGTGGCTCAGTCTGTTAAGCATCTGCTTAACAGCTCAGGTCATGATCCCAGGAGCCCCAAGTCAGGTTCTCTACTCCGCGGAGAGCCTGCTTCTCCCTCTCCCTCTGCCTGCCACTCTGCCTATTTGTGCTCTCTTTCTCTCTGTCAAATAAATAAATAAAATCTTTAAAAAAAAAAAGTCCACTGCCATTCTTTTATACTTATAAAAATTACTACCCTGTTCTGAAAGTATCATTAAAATTGCTGATACATCATTAACAACTACTGTTACTAAGTTTATTCATTGTAAGTCATACTATTCATCCAATGAACATTTGTTATATCTGCAGAATATGGCTTTAGGCTGGCTCTTCAAGTTTAGTAATAGGTCACAGTAACTGACATCAAAATAAGAAAAATGCTGAACATATTTCATTTCTACCCAAACACCTAAAATGTACAAGGCTCCATGGTACAAGCCTTCTCTATAAATGCACAACCTATAATTTCTCAGAAATCCCCAAGCAATGTAAAATTTAAGTGGTTAGACTATGATTGTACTAGAAAAAGCCACAAGCTTTGGTATATAAGTTTGTCTATAAGTTGTTCTTTCATAAGTTGTTCTTTTAAAACTACATGTGTTAGTTTGGGTTCTCTGAGAAACAAATGCTAAAATGGGATTAAATGTGAAAGAGATTTACTGGGGAAACGTTTTGAATTATAAAGGAGAAAAGTAGGCAGAGTCTGACACCTGTGATGGGGAGAGAGAGGAAAGGAGGACTGGGTAAGAAGTCTTAGACAGCCAACAGTCGACAGTCAGAAGAAAGTACTGGGCAGGCTAACAGGGAGTCCTTGAGCCAAAGTCATCCATCGGGGAATGGGCCAACACACTCATTCCCTGGCTGGGAACAGCCTGGGGGAAGTGGGGCCTCAGCAGGAACGCAGGGGTGGATCCCATGGGGCAGCAGTTGGGGTTCTCTGTGAACCCTGCTTCCCACACAAGGAAATGTGAGTGGTGCATTTCCACTACCGCTACATCATCTTTTGGAGGTCTTCAGGTTTTTTTCGTTTATGTTCGATGGACATAAAGACCATAAATGTTTTCATGCCACCGAATTGTACCTACGTATTTGACGGCTTGTCATGAAACACGTTACTGTTAACAGAGATTAAGGATTCTCTTAATACAACATTCCGGTTGTTACATATTTTGTATTAGTTTTTGAAGTATCTAAGTTGTCTCTCCTGTATCACTTACCACACACAGGTGAGACTATACAAAATAATTTGACATAAGGACTTCTGGAACGTTAACCTAATAAAAACTTTCACTAATGTGGGCTAACTGAATGATGACTAAATGACGGAATGTTTTTAAAGGAATGTGGTTATTACTCAGCAGCATACACAGTAACTGCCATTAGAAGGACACATGTTGACTGAGAGAGAGAGAACCGATACAAAGACCGAATGACTAGGCCCAATTACCACACCACTTAGTTTGTTTCTGAGAATACACTTTTAAGAAAGTTTATATTCTCGCATAAAACGCCTACAATTTTCTCAAGTAATATTGCACTTTAAGTCATATCACAGCATTATCAGCCCACTGCATTGTCTTCTACAGACCCTGCAAACCCTTTCTTGCTAGGTAATTTAAGTGTAGTCTGGGGGCTGAAGGTTCAATCTCCGGGACTGAGTAAAGCCAGAGGAAGGATGCCTTAGGCGAGCCCAGCAGTTTCCAAGTCTTCCTTCATTCCACAGCTGTAAACTGGATATGACTTTTTCATGACCCAGTTATCCAAAGGCCACAACAGAAGAGCTTTTGAGTCATCAAAACTGACTAAGCTGGCCCATTTCATCCTCCGCTTTGTATCTAAATTTTATTGACCCTCTGTATCTAAATTTTATGTTTAACAAACTAGTATGTATTTCAGCTCAGTTCATCCATGCAAAAAATCACTAATTTTCCAAGTAATGATTTTTAATGCTATATTCATATAAAACAATTTCAGTTCAAGTATTCCAAACTTGGTTTCTTAATATTTCCCCACAGAAAGCCTAGAGATTTGGAAAAATACATTTAAAATTGAAGGACAGCTACACTTACAGTGAGAGTATGTGCTACGCACTGTTCCAAGTGGTTTACATGTACTTACTCATTTAAATATCTTCCCACTACCCTATGAGGTAGAACTAGTATTAACTCCAATTTATACATGAAGATAACTGAGGTATAGAGAAGTTAAATAACGTTTCCAAGATCACATGGCTAATAAGTAGCAGAGCCAGGATCTGAACCCAAGTAATCTGGTCTGAGTTAGATTTTCTGTTGTTACTATGGCCTTACAAACTATAATGTATTACTTAACTCACACATAAAAAGTCACTGTTACCTAGCATGTGGCAATAAAAATCATTAAAACTTGTTTTATTTACATTTGCATTTTGTAAGCAGCTGATTAAACTGAAATGTGATGAAATGAGTTTGCAGCTCTAACCATCATTTATATACTCCAATTTACTTAAAGTAAAATTAATGTGCTAATACAGAACTATTTCCCCTTTCTTTTTTTTTTTTAACTACCCTTTCTTACTTTATAGCAGCATATTTTCTTTCAAGGCATTATTTATGTTTTTAAACACATTATAGAAATTAAATGATTTAAAGGATATACAGAAAGCAAACAAGTGGAAATAAATTCGGATCTACATATTCAGAAAAAGATACTGAAGTTAATAATATATGTGTCTTAAAAATCAATACAGCGTCCTTTTCGTTCCCAATCTCCGTATCGGGTAGGTTCTGGGCCTCTGGGTCCACCTTTTTCTTTGGTAACAGGATTAATATCATCTGGGAATTCTAAAGAAAGACAGAAGATGCAAAAACAGTAGTCAACAGAAACGAGAAAGGCATTCTGCCCAATTTTGAAGACAGGGTTACAGGAGATACCACTGACTAGGTTATTGCTATGCAGTCTTTTAAATGAACCGTAAATGTGGTTCTTTTTCCCGAGTTTGAGAAATCACTTCAGGATACAATTGTCATATTCAACAGACCTTATCACCTACATTAATTACTTAGAATTCTTAGAATGTTCTCAGGCCCCAGTGTGGGGAGTTAGCTGCATATATGCTGATGGATTGTAAGAGAAGGAATGGAATGCAGGGAATATAGAGTACAAATCCATAACATTTGAAAGGTCTTGAAACAAGATTATTTTGGCTCAGTGCCTCAGTTTTCTTAACAGTAAAATGGGTACAACAATTGTACCTGATTTAGCCTGTTGAGAATTAAAGAAACACATGTAAAGGATTTAGCTCAGTGCTGGGTACATAAGAATGCTCAATTAATTTTAGCTATGAGAACTCTTGCGCTTCTTCACAGGGTTTTGGCTTCAGCAAGTAGTTGGCTGATACTGCCGCTTATGGACATAAGAGATATCACTATTAATACTGTGTGTTCATAATAGGACCATCCATCTTGAGTCAGGCCTACTTTTGAGCACTTTATTCACAGTAACTCGTTTTGTCCTCATGATAGTCCTACGGGACAGGAACAATTATGGTCTCCATTTTACAGATGAGGAAAATGAGGCACAAAGAGGTTCAGAAAAGTTCTGGTCATACTGCTACTACTGTGGTAAAATGGAATTTGAATTCAGACATTCTGGTTGCAGTCTTGTTCTCAGCCCATAAACTACTGCTCTATATATGGGAAGAACGGAAGAGGAATCAGCTATTAGAAAACCTCAATTCTTAAGCTGTGTCTCTTTAGAAAGCTAAATGAACATCGCCAAAATCATGTAGTCCTGCTCTAGGAAAAAGAAAATAGAAAATTTACCTTGAAAACGTTCAAATACTTAGCTATTTTTAAAATTCTTTCTCCACTATGAATAAACTCTTCCCCACCTATCATTCTGTTTTCTAGAAAACTCCATCCTTGGACTTCCTCTGAAAGCCTCTAAGGGAAGCTCTTCTGTCTCCCGTATCCCCAGGGCTCGCTGAATGCCTTAGTCAGCTTGGGCTGCCATAACAAACTGCCACAGACTGACTGGCTTCAACAATAGAAATTAACTTTCTTATACTCTGGAGGCTACGAGTCTGAGATCAGGATGCCAGCATGGCGGGTTCTGGTAAAGACTATCTTCCTGGCTTGCAGATGGCATTGTGTTCTCTCAAGGCAGAAGAGAAAGACAGCGAGCTCTCCAGTGTCTTTTAGTATGAGAGCACGAATTCCATCATGAGGCCCCAGTCTCAAGACCTCATTTAAACCCAATTATCTCTCAAAGGCCCCATCTCCAAATACCACCACTCTGGGGTGTAGGGCTTTGAAAAGGATTTCAGGGAGACACAATTCAGTCCACAGCACGAAGGAAGAAAGTGTCAAGACATTCCTGTGGCTTACTGCTACTTCCAGCTTCTCATCTCCCACCAAACCTCTATAGCTTTTCCTCTTTTGAATTCCACACCATTCACTTGTCCAACACTTTGCTCCAATCTGGTAATAAAGACTTTTTATCTTCTTGGATAGGATCAATACTTGGTTCACAGCTTCACCTCTCCCCATTATCTTTCCTACCAATACTCATATTAGTAACCTCACATACTGGCAACACAGAGGTCCCTGTCCTCTTTCCTAGTGATTCTCATGTCCACTTGCATTATCTGCATTGATTTCATTATCTCCTGAATATGTTCCCTCTCCAAGTCCCACAGCCTTGAGTTTTCTTCTTTCTGAACACAACCTTCTATGGAGGCTTTTCCCTCATGTTTCTTTAACCTAATTTTCACCCTCATAATAACCTGCAGTTTTCTGAAACTTTTTACTCTCGCTAGTACCACCCTGAGTCATGCTCAGTTACATTCTAGACTAATACAAGCATTTTCTAACTCATCTGTTTTCTGACTCTCATGATGTTAGCCTAATCTGCAGAGAAGGATGAATTAATCTTTATAAAACAGAATCCTTCCTCCACATCACATTAAGTGAAATAAGCCAGACACAAAAGACTATGTACTATATGATTTCATTTATATAAAATCCTAGGAAAGGCAAAATTATATTGACAGAGAACAGATTCACGGTTGCCAGAGGGATGGGGAAATGAGACTAATTATAAAGAGGCACTAGGGGCTCCTTGCGGGATGGTACCGTTGTATACTTTGTTTTGGTTACATGACTATAAACACTGTTAAAATTCACCAACGTGTTTACTTAAAATGGGTGAATTTTATTATACACAGATTATACTTTAGTAAAGCTGATTAAAATAATCTCCATTCAAAAACATTCAGAGCTTTCCTCACTGTCCACTGCATAAAGCCCATATGCTATAATCTGGTACCTCAGGCCCTCCCAGTTTGAGCCATAACTATCTCTCTAGCTTTAGATTTTATTAATCCACTATGTACACTCTATGCTGCAGCCAGAAGGCCCACTGGCCATGTCTCACAGGTACCATGTTCCCTAGCCTCTTTCCCTCTGACCACACCTTTCTCTTTCTTGAAACATGTCCCTACCACTCCTTAACTACTTATGATTTTATTGTGCCTTTAAACCCCAGCTCAAATGTTATCTCTTTTCTCTACTTTTTTTCTGAACTTCTTTGCACATCTCTTATGCCAGTTATCATACAACGTCCTGTTCACAGTTAGTTTTGTATCTCATTTTCCTTATTCACCTTTGCATCAAACAGCATACTCAGCTGCAAACAATCTTCCTTTATTATCTTAATAATGAAGTCTACTCTCTGCAAAAGGACAACCTAAACACTTTTCTTAGAACAACGTATATACCAGAAGCAGGGAGACAAGCCTAGAAAGGAAACAGGAAGAGGACGGACCAACAGAACCACAGATGCTTGAATTTGGGCTTTGTTGGTAGGACGGATAAGAGGAGAGGAGTTTGACAAATGTTAAGAAGGTGGTACCAACAAGACTAGGAGCCAGGACACAGGAGGAAGCAGGAGTGAAGAACTATCTGCAGATTTCTGAATCTCTGCTTCTGGGCAGAGGTAGAAGAGCTTAAGAAAGAGTTCAGGAAGAAATGGAATAGGAGGAGGAACTGGACAAAACATAACCAAAACCAAGACAGGAGATTTCCAGAAGCATTGGTTAACAATGCTGAAGCTTGCAGACAGTTCCTATAAAATGGGGATTGGAAAGCATTTGCTGGGTTTGGTGATATTTACTAGACCAGCTTCAAAGAGATGGTATGTTCAACACACATTTCAGAGACTCAAAAGTTACAATGAATACCTAGCATTGTGTCAAACAGATGATTATCTTTTGAAATGTATCTTTTCTGGGGCCCCTGAGTGGCTCAGTGGGTTAAAGCCTCTGCCTTCAGCTCAGCTCATGATCCCAGGGTCCTGGGATCGAGCCCTGCATCGGGCTCTCTGCTCAGCAGGGAGCCTGCTTCCTCCTCTCTCTCTGCCTGCCTCTCTGCCTACTTGTGATCTCTGTCTGTCAAATAAATAAATAAAATCTTTAAAAAAATGTATTTTTCTTTTTTATTGTATTAAATGTATACAATAATTATCATTTAACCATTTGTAAGTATACAATTCAGTGGCATTAACTACATTCTCAATGGTCTGCAACCATCATACTACACCCAAAAGTTTTTCATCATCCTCAATGTAAACTCTGTACCCATTAAACAAAAACCTTTCCTTTCCCCCCACCCCCAGACTTTGATAATCTCTATTGTATCTTGTCTCTATGAATTTGCCCACTCTAGGTACCTAATTTGAGTGGAATCATATATTGGTCCCTCTGTCTAGCTTATTTTACATAACCATAATGTTTTCAAGGTCCATCCATACTGTAGCAATCAAAATGCCATTCCTTTTTCGGACTGAATAGTATTCCACATACCACATTTTGTTTATCCATTTATCTATGGATGGACATCTGAGCTATTTTTTTTTGGCTACCCTGAATGAAGCTGCTATGAACACAGGTATACAGATACCTGCTCGAGTCCCTGCTTTCCATTGTTTCCGATATATACCTAGAATTGTTGTGGTCTATAGCTGACTTTTTCTGAGAAATTGCCAAACTGTTTCCCATAGTAGTTGCATCACTTTATGTTCCCACCAGAAACATTCCCGCCAGAAACAGAGGGGTTCCAATTTCTCTACATTGTTGCCATCACTTGTTTTCTGGTTTTTCTTAAATTGTAGCCATCCTAGTTGGTGTGAAGTGGTATCTCATCCTGTGATGTAGAGAATGTGATGTTGAGCACATTCTCAAGTGCATGTTAGTTATCTCTATATCTTATTTGGAGAAATGTATATTCAAGTCATTTGTCCATTTTTGAATTGAGTTGTTTCTGTGGAGCTGTAGGAGTTTTCTACTTATTCTCAGTATTTTTGTCAGATATATGCTCTACAAATATTTTCCACAATTCCATAGGTTAACTTTTCACTTTCTTGACAATATCCTTTGATATTATCCTTTGATATAAAATTCATTAATTTTAATAATGTCCAATTTATATACTTTTGTGTTTGCTGTCTATGCTTTTGGTGTCATGACCATGAAACTGCTTTCAAAATTAGTATCATGATTTCCCCCCAATGTTTTCATCTAAGAATTTTATAGTTTTATCTCTTAATTTAAGGGTTTTGACATATTTAATTTTTAAACATGGTATAAGGTAAGGGTCCAATTTCATACTTTTGCATGTGGACTTCAGGTGTTCCCAGCACCACGTATAGAAAAGACTGTCTTTTCCCCCACTGAGTGATCCTGGCAACCTTCTCAAAAGCCAACTGAGCATAGGTGTGAGAGTTTACTTCTGGGATTGCTACTTTTGTGTAAGATGTTTCTTTCTTTTTTTTTTTTAATTTATTTATTTTCAGCATAACAGTATTCATTGTTTTGCACCACACCCAGTGCTCCATGCAATCCGTGCCCTCTCCACTACCCACCACCTGGTTCCCCCAACCTCCTACCCTGTGTAAGATGTTTTAATGAAAAATTTCCTCTTAAATTTTTGTGCTTGGCTAAAACTATGAAAGAAAATTTTACCTTAGATTATGCTTCTTAAAAGTCTCCATCATTTTGACTGATTGACCTAGTTTTCAGACTGGGTTTATTAGTAAAGTGCTATAAACTGAAATATTTAACTGAATGAACAAAAAGAAAAGTTTTTATATTTCGAAGAGGTCCAGATAAAAGGCCCCTGTATCCTCTGTTGATATCTTCTTGCCTAGGATGCTTCACTACATAGATGGGTTAACTCTCAGGAGACAAACAGGGCAGCCCATTTCCCAAAATTCAAACTGGTATGTTTACGTTTATGCTATTTAAAATGTTATTTTTTGACTAGCTAATACGTGCACATGTTTCACAATTCAAAGATAGCAAAGAGTACAGAATGAAAATAAAGTAGCACTTTAAAAAACAGAGTTTTAAGACACGAGTCAGATTTTGTATATATTAAATGCAAAACAATATTTAGTTTATCACCACACCACCCTCAAAAAAGCTCTTCTTTCTCCAAACTTCCCCTTCTCTTTCTCCAACCACATGGCTATGGTGAGAATAACCACCTTCATCTGTGACCCACCCCACTGGCCACTCTGATTTAGCTCTAGACACCTGATCCAAGCTTGGCCAACGAACTCTCTTCTTAATAAATTTGTAATTAGGGGTGTCTAGGTGGCTCAGCTGGTTGAGCAACCAGCTCTTGGTTTTGGCTCAGGTTGAGATCTCAGGGTCCTAGGATCTAGCCCTGCCTCTGGCTCTGCAGGCTCTGCGCTCAGCAGGAAGTCTGTTCAAGATTCACTTCCTCTCCCTCCCCTGCCCCCACCCTACCCTCAGGCTTTGCTCTCAAATAAATAAATAAATAAATAAATCTTTAAAAAAAAAAAAGAACTTTGGAATTAGAAAATAACAATGGTTAATTTTGGTCTAGTTGTTCTATCGACCTGAGTAACAGCTAGGAGTAGTTCCTTTGCCCATTGGACTTAGAAGGGAGTCTGATGACAGAAAATGATGAAGAGAAGTGACCAGAGACAAGAGAAGGAGGGAGAATATCCTGCTTTCCATATAGTGTTTAGTCCCAAGGTTCATCTTTCTTCAAAGCCTAGCAGCATCACTGCCTTGGGGTATTCCACCTGTGTACCTTGTAGTCCAGCAACAACCTGTACTACCTTTTGTTTGAGTCTGCTCAAGTGGTTATCAACTTATTTGCATTGAAACAGGTCTCAAGTCATATACTTCGTAATGTGAATAATGGGTTGTAATAAATAAAAGAGCAATCACTGTGAGCGGCTTGGAAATTATTATTTTTTATTTTTTAAAGATTTTATTTATTTATTTGAGAGAGAGGCAGTAAGAGAGAGCATGAGCAAGGAGAAGGTCAGAGGGAGAAGCAGACTCCCCGTGGAGCTGGGAGCCCGATGCGGGACTCGATCCCGGGACTCCGGGATCATGACCTGAGCCAAAGGCAGTCGTCCAACCAACTGAGCCACCCAGGCGTCCCTGGAAATTATTATTTTTTAAAAAGATTTATGTATTTATATATTTGCTGGGGGGAGGGGGAGCACAGGCAGGGGGAGTGGCAGGCAGAGCGAGAAGTAGGCTCTCTGCTGAGCAGGGATCCCAATGTGGGGCTTGATCCCAGGACGCTGGGATCATGACCCGAGCTAAAGGCAGATGCTTAACTGACTGAGTCACCCAGGCATCCCCTGGAAATTATTCTTTTAAACCTACACTTTCTTTTAAACTATTCTTTTAAACTATTCTTTTAAACCTAGTGATGGTGAATATGGTAATTTATTCATTGTGAAATATGCCTTATTATGTTAATAAAGAATTATAAACAACATATTTCATTCTTTTTTCCTCAATAACTAAAATACCTTCTACGACACTTCAAAAATTACGAGATGCTTTACCACACAGTCATACCTCATCTTACTGTGCTTCACAGATACCGTGGTTTTTTTGTTTCTTGTTTTTTTTTTACAAATTGTGCAGGCAAAGGAAAAGTTCTTGAAAGAAGTGAAAAGTGCTACTTCAGTGAATACAAGTGATAAGAAAGGCAACAGCCTTATTGCTGATATGGAGAAAGAAGTCATCTCCATAACACCCAAGTGCGCAGGGTGAAGAGCACGTGCTGATGGAGAAGCTGCAGCAAGTTCTCCAGAAGATCTAGCTGAGAGAAGAAATGAGGGCGGCTACACTGAACAATGGATTTTCAGTGTAGACAAAATAGCCTTCTACTGGAAAATGATGCCTTCTAGGACTTTCATAGCTAGAGAGGAGAAGTCAGTGCCTGGCTTTGAAGCTTCGAAGAACAGGCTAACTCTCCTATTAGGGGCAGCTGGTGACTTTAAGTTGAAGCCAGTGTTCATTGACCATTCCCTAAATCCTGGGACACTTAAGAATTACGCTAAATTTACTCGATCTATGCTCCGTAAGTAGAGCAACAAAGCCTGGATGACAGCACATCTGCCCATAACATGGTTTACTTAGTATTTTAAGCCCACTGATGAGACCTACGGCTCAGGAAGAAAGATTCCTTTCAAAATATGACTGCTCATTGACGGTGCACCTGGTCCCCCAAGAGCTCTGATGGAGATGTTCGGTGAGATTAATGTTGTTTTCATGCCTGCTTAACACAGCATCCATTCTGCAGCCCGTGGATCTAGGTCATTCAACTTTCAAGTCTTATTGTTTAAGGAATACATTTTGTAAGGCTGCAGCTGCCAGAGGTAATGGTTCCTCTGATGGATTCAGACAAAGTAAATTGAAAACCTTCTGGAAAGGAGGCACCATTTTGATGCCGTGAAGAACATGTGTGATTCATGGGAAGAGGTCAAAATATGACCATTAAAAGGAGTTTGGAAGAAGTTGATTCCAACCCACATGAATGCCTTTGAGGAGAGGAGTTCAGGACTTCTGTGGAGGAACTGACTGCAGATGTGGTGGAAACAGCAAGAGAACTAGACCTAGAAGTGGAGCCTGAAGATGGGACCAAAGTGCTGAAATCTCTTGATCAAACTTGAATAGAGGAGTTGCTTCTTATGGATGATTGAAGAGAGTGGTTTTGTGAGATGGACTCTACTCCTGGTGAAGATGCTGGGAAGACTGTTAAGATGACAACAAATGGTACAGAGTATCACACAAACTTAGCTTACAAAGAAGTGGCAAGGTTTGAGATGACTGACCCTAATTTTGAAAGAAGTTCTACTGTGGGTAAAATGCTACCAAACAGCATCTCATGGTACAGAGGAATCTTCCGTGAAAGGAATAAATCAATGTGCCAAACTTCACTATTGTCTTGTTTTAGGAAATTGTTATAGCAAGTACCACCCTGGTCAGTTGGTAGCCATTAACGCTGAGGCAAGTCCCTCCACCAGAAAAACATTATGACTCACTGAAAGCTCGGATGATAGTATTAGTTAGCAATGAAGTGTTTTTAAATTAAATTATATATATATACACACACACACACACACACATACATATGTATTTTAGACACAGTGCTATTGCACACTTTACAGTCTGCAGTACAGTGTAAACATAACTTTAATACATACTGGGAAGCCAAAAGAGTTATCTGACTTGCTTTACCACCACATTTGCTTTATTGCAGTGATCTGGAACCAAACATGTAATATCTGTGAGGTATGCCCATACTCACTTGTCAGTGGTTCTTTCTCTAAATTAGAAACTTCTGGTGCATCAAAACGACCTTCTGGTAACTTTGGCTTCTTAAGAGATTGTTTGATAGGTTTGGATTTTTCTCCTTCAGAACTCATTTTCCTCACAGAATGACATGAGAGGGGTGACCCTGGAGAGTGGAGACAGTGAAAAATTAGAAGCTGTTCTTTTATTCTACTTTAAAAAGTTAACATTTTGGGCGCCTGGGTGGCTCAGTGGGTTGAGCCACTGCCTTCGGCTCGGGTCATGGTCTCAGGGTCCTGGGATCGAGTCCTGCGTTGGGTTCTCTGCTCGGCGGAGATCCTGCTTCCCTCTCTCTCTCTCTGCCTGCCTCTCCATCTACTTGTGATCTCTCTCTGTCAAATAAATAAATAAAATCTTAAAAAAATAAAAATAAAAAGTTAACATTTTATTTATTTGTTTTTTATTAATTTGTTTTATTTGTTTATTTATTTGTTTTGTTTGTACAAAAGGACATACAGTGAAAATTCTTTCCTCTATCTTCTAGACAGCTATTTCCCTTTCTCAGAGGCAACCAATATTATCAGTTTAAAAAGAAGAGCTTTAAAATGAATTAGTTAACCATTATCAAAATTGTAAAAACTTATATATATAAAATACGGATTCCTGTGTGAAGCAATGCCCTAAATAACAGAAATAAGATATGAAGCGTTACTAAGTATACAAAGTTTTAATGACAATATTTACTATTTAAATTACAAGAGACTGTATTTAGTATTCTTATATTTGAATCCTAATCATGATTCTCTTTTCCTGCCAATTAAACATTTTAAAAATGTACTAGGCATTTACAGCATAAAAATGCAATCACTTTCTCCATAGGTCATATGAAGAAAGCTAAACTTTCTAAACTGCTATGAAAGTTATCCAACCCTTGTTAAGATCATGTTCAATAAGTACAAAACCATCCTGAAAAAATGACTTCAGGGTTGGGTTTTGAACTTCCTGAAGGAATGGCTTCAGAGGCAGACAGAGTTGGGGACCAGTTCCAGTTACACCCCTGTGGTAAGCAGAATAATGGCTTCCAAAGATGATTGGAATCTCACATTCAGAAACTATAAAGAGGTGAGGTTCCATGGTAAAGAATTTAGGTAGCAGTCTGAATTGAGGCTGCTAATCATATGAACTTAGACTAGAGCAACTGCCCTGGACTATCTGTGTGGGTCCATTGCAGTCAAAAGAATCCTTAAAACGGGAAGAGACAATTGGAAGAGAGAACCAGAAGGACGGCAGCATGAGACAGCCGTAATGGATGCTGCCAGCTTTGAAGATGGAGGAAAGGAACTTCAGCAGCCTCGAGAAGTTGGAAAGGGAAGAAAGAGATTGTCCCCCTAGAACACAGTCCGAACACTTTGATTTCAGTCCAGAGACTTCTCACCCATTTCAGACTTCTCACCTCCCCACTAGGTTTGTGACAACTGGTTATAGCAGCAGCAGGAAACTAATGCAGTTTTAGTTGTTTGACCTTTGGTCAAGTGACTTACCCTTTCTACATCTGTTTCCTCCCTTCTAAATTAAAGGTAACAGTATCTATCTCATGAGTTACTAAATAAATTAAACAAGGCAATTCATGCAAAGCTTTTACCATCGTGACAAATTTTATCTAATATTATCATTGCAGTATTATCTGGAAGTCCCGGTAGCATTACAAATAATGAGAATTTTCTTTTGTTATATGTATTTTATTCATATTATAGCTAATATGGCATCACCTTACCATCTGCTTTAAAAAATTATGTGTAGGGGCACGTGGGTGGCTCAGTGGGTTAAAGCCTCTGCCTTCGGCTCAGGTCACGATCTCAGGGTCCTGGGATCGAGCTCTGCCTCGGGCTCTCTGCTCAGCAGGGAGCCTGCTTCTCCCCTCTCTGCCTGCCTCTCTGCCTGCTTGTTATCTCTGTCCGTCAAATAAATAAATAAATAAAATCTTAAAAAAAAAAAAAATTCTGTATAGGGGTTCCTGGCTAGCTCAGTCAGTCGTGACTATTGATCTTGGGTTTGTGAGTTCAAGCCCCATGTTGGGTGCACGAATTACTTAAAAACAATTATATATATACAAACAGCCATACACACACACACACAAATATATATATGCATATAAATATTTGTACATATATATCTTTCTCTCTTTTTATACGTACAAAACCCATGTAAGACTTGTTTGTAAGATTACATAAAGTTAACATTACATACAAACTGTATTAACAATTTTGAAATAGTGGCTGTTCATTTGCATATCTACTGCATATAGCTCAGGGAGTAGCAAAATTATTGTTTGAATGACCAATTAGAATACAAACTATCATTCTTCCACAGATCCAAGAGCCCACAAAACACAAGGATTAAAAAAATACGTAACTGAATGTTTTAATAAAGCTATGATCTTTAATAAAGCTAACGATCTGCAGAATTAATACAGTTTTCTCCCAACTACATGGTCACTTATATAAAATACTACATATTTGTGACATTAATTGGCTGAGAAAAACTGTGGATCAACAAAAATTTCTATGCACATTAAAATAAAAACATTTATTTATTTAAAATTTTTACTTACTGATTTAGAGTACAGACCATTTTGCCTTCAAACTCCCACTCCATTATCTAAGGACATACTGAATTTTTTCGTATGTCCTCATAGTAATATTTAAACATATAAGAAAAGGCTAAAGAGGAAAACCTGCAACAAAATCTTATAAGGCAACATTTACTTTTATTTAAGAAATGGAAAATATGGAAAATATAGGAATATGAGCTTCTGATTATATTAATATATTTCATATAACAAGCTGATCTTGGCTTATTGTGACTATTTTAAAAATACTATATTGAAGATTTTGGTGAATATAAACCATGCTCAATTGAAAGATATTTCCAGTCCAAATCACAGGATTTTTGTTAGTCACTTCTTATCTGAAATATAGAATTCTTTAGAATGTGACATCAATATAACCCAATTTAGGAAGTTTAGCCAACTTCCACAACAGAAACTTCTGTTCATTATCTAATGTCCAACTATGTATCCATCAACAAATCCATCACAAATTTACAGAGTATGAAAGGCTGTTTCTAAGTCATCATAATTCAGTAATAATTAATATAGATATATGGAAAGTATTTTAATAGTTACAAATTAGATTCTAAATGTGGACAGATTTTTCATCTATTCTGGCTAATGACTAGATTCTGCATCTGGTTATGAAGCAAGTCTGTATTCCTGTACATCAAATAACTCACTTTGAAGCCTAAAAATCAGCCAAGTATTTATTTAACAGATACCAGTAACCACCTGCTACTGTGCACTCAGACTCGACTCAATACAATAAATTAGCACTCTCTGTTTTAGGTTTGGTTGTTTTGCAAATCAAAAAAAATATCTTAATTCAATGCTTGAAATGATATTCAGTGTAAAAATAAATCTTGGTATGTTCCAAATCTGTAGAAATTCCTAAGCATTTGCACAAAATCATAAAAAATGGCACAAAATAGTCTTGACTACCAATTATAAAGCAGACATAATCTGAAGCTAAAAATTTTGCCTCTGAAATGATACAGATGTACTAAATATAACTAATACAAGTAATAAACATGGGTTAGATGCCTCCTATGTGTCAGGCTCTGTACTAGGGGCTGAAAACATGACACTTCCTTAAACCTCACAATAATCCAATGCGGCAGGTCTAACGGTCTTTAATTTACAGTAATTGTGCTCAATTTGAACAAAATTATTTTCTGAAAAAGTGACATTAGGTAGATGTGCTGGAAGCTGCCTACTGTCTCAAGTAGCTCCTTTACCCTTCTTCCATTCGGTTCTAAGATTCCCACTCCCATCTCATTCGCTATTAAGCTGAGCACCGGGCCACTTGCTTAGAGAAGACATTTCCCAGCATTCCTGCAGCCAAGCAGCCACATGTCCAAGTGGTGACCAATGGGTTGTGACTGGAAGTGATGTGTGCAAATTCTGGGTTGCCCCACTTCTGCAAAAAGCTGATTGCCCTGGATGTCTTTTCCCCCTTCTTTGGGTTATAATACAGACATGGCAGTGACCCAGCTTCAACCATGCAGATGCAGACAAAACCCAGGGCAAGGGGATACGTAAAATATTTAATAACTTGTATGATATAGACAGTGCCCATTCAGAACCTATGTCCAACCATTCAGAACATATGTTGTAAATAACAAGTAAAATTCAACTATTGTACATGGGGCTGATCAGCGGCACTGGCCTACAGACGGTGGAGCAACAATATGGAAAGAACAATGATCCCCGAATTACCTGTCAAAGCAGAGTTGTCCTGCCTGTCCCATCAGCAGAACTGTTACAGCAGCTTGGCCCTTTCCTTCAGTAATACCATGGACAAGTAAAAAAAAAAAACCTGGCAAGCTAAGGGCACTAGAATCACACATGGGTTCCAATGCCAGCCATCCCACTTTTAGCAATGTGACTGACCCTAAGACGGTTCCTGAACCTCACTGAGTCTGTATCCTCCCCGGAACCGGGATATTTCTACTTGTCCTGTAGCCTAGCTCAGAGAAAGGGAGTAAGGTGTATGTCTCCATTGAGCCTAACTGTAGGACACAGAAGTCAATGTGCAAATGGGTTTTTGGTTAAGAAGAGGAATATGAGTGTACTGTGGGAAAAGAGAGAGGAGTAGCAAAGGAGAAGTTTGAGAAACTAGTCTGTAGGTCTGGTCTTGAGTACTTCTTCTTCTTCTTCTTCTTCTTTTTTTTTTTTTTAAAGATTTTTTATTTATTTATTTGACAGAGAAAGAGAGAGAGATCACAAGTAGGCAGAGAGGCAGGGAAAGAGAGGGGGAAGCAGGATCACCGCGAGCAGAGAGCCTGATGCGGGGCTCGATCCCAGGACCCTGAGATCATGACCCGAGCCGAAGGCAGAGGCTTAACCCACTGAGCCACCCAGGCACCCCTGGTCTTGAGTACTTCTGAAGGAACTTTATCTTAGAAAAAAAGGTTACAAGGAAAAGCTAAAAGACCAATTTTCTCAAAGGACTCTGAGACCATAGTGGCCTAAACAGAATTATTTTTGTAGACAGGTTAACAGTGTTAACAGACTGGGGAGGAGGAGAATTCCTCTCATTTCTGTACCGTACA